CGCCCCCTCGGACACCCGGCACGTCGCCCCTCAGACACCCGGCACGTCGTCCCTCAGACACCCGGCACGCCGCCCCTCAGACACCCGGCACGCCGCCCCTCAGACACAAAGGTTCCAGGAAACAACTTTTCCCTCAATGCCTCTGATTGTAACCCCCTGCAGGCCGTGCAGTTCACCGGTCCTTGTCCTCCTCTGTATCTCGGACACAAGTAAAGAGATATAAATCTATATTTTGGGACGGAGCGCCTGTTACAGACTCCGAGGAAATAATGTTTAATTTAATTTTGTTTTTTATGTGAATTCAGATTATTTATGGGGAACATAATGTAAAGCTGATGTTACAGTCCGGGGATTCCTCGTGTGGTCCATGAATATGTCAATAAAGTGATTTTTAAGAGAGTTTTGGTGATGATTTGGTATCGCCGCGGCCTGCCACGGACGCCGTGTGACGGTACCAGGCTGAGGGCGGATATAGAAGATCTGACTTGTGAAACCAGCCCGGTGACGTGATTATAGAGGATGAGAACCCCGAATGATGTCACTGAGCTTACTCCTCAATAATTGCCTTTTATTATTATCTCCGTTTATATCTTTATTCCTTCTCAGGGCTCCTGCAGTCACTTCCTGTCCACATGACTCCAGCAATGGCTGCATCGCATTTCTCAGGGCGGGTTTCCTGATAGGGATCGAACCCGAAGGAAGATCCTTCCATGCCACCTAATCAGCTGCTGTCGGAAGTCCCCTCCCACAGGGGGCGGGATTCAGTGATGTCATTGACCTTATAGATAGATAGATTTATTTATTTGTCACATACATAATCGTACAAGTATGATATGCAGTGAAATGACTTTATATGGCTACATGCCGACATTTGGTAAATCACATCTACCTAATGCGGCTGTGTGGCCAGATGAGATAAATTATAGGGATGTGCCAATACTAGTATTGGTATCGGTGCCGATGCCGAGTATGAAGAGTGGTCCGAAACCTTCCCCAGTACCGGAACTTCCGGTCAGAGGAAGATTTCCAATGACCGACAATGCCATAGAGGAACATGGAGCCGGATTCCCACCCAATCAGGAAGCTGGGCAGCGAGTAATGGCCTGCTTCCTGATTGGCAGGACAGCCGGCTTCCCAGCCAATCAGGGAGGCGGGTCGTTACTCGCCACCCGGCTTCCTGACTGGCTGGGAAGCCAGCTCGATGCTGATTGGCCAGGAAGCCAGTTTAACAGTCAATCAGGAAGCTGAGAGGCGGGTCATTACTCGCCACACAGCTTACTGATTGGCTGGGAAGCTAGCTCGATGCTGATTGGCCCGGGAAGCCGGCTTCTAAGCCAATCAGCACTGAACCGGCTAAACAACATAGAGCCGGCTTCCCGGGCAAATCAGGAAACAGGGCGACATCTCATTACTGATTGCCTGGGAAGCCGACTCCATGCCAGCGGAAGCATCGGTATCTGCGAGTACCGAAAGAAAAGTATCGGTACTCGATACTGAAAAACCATTATCAGTGCTTCCCTACTAAATGACATCAGCACAAACATCCCGCCCCTTTGTTTACATACAGCTGGGGACAGGGGAATGCCCGAGCTGCAGCTGATTGGGTAGAAGCAACCATGGCACTTCCCTATTCAGAGGAGCTCAGGTTCGGATTGGGTTTGGCCTGAACCTGAGCTCATCTCCTGATGGTGACAACAGTGGACCATGTCTGCTAAACCTGCCACTTGTCTCCTCAGGAAGACGGGGTGACAACGCAGCAGTATAATTGGAAGACATGGAGGGAGGGTTGTCACCCTACAACAGGAAGTGTCTGAACAAGGACCGTCGTGTCAGGATCACTTTTAATGAAAGTCTTCTAAAAACGACATTCGAGATGATGAAGCTTATTTCAGGTTTACTGTATACAGCGCTGCGTCGCGTGTGATTGCATAACAACGGGCAACAGTTCCTGACACGCGGCGCTTTAGCATCCAGCGGAGGTTTATTTCACACAAACAGAATAGAGAAAAGATTTTGCGCGGATGAGCGGCTCTGAGGAAGCGTTCGGTCGGCAGGAGACGCGGCAGCGCAATGAAAGAAGCCGCCCTGGGGTGGGCCGCGCCGCACTCCTCTATGTAACGCTCGGCACTCTGGCGTGTCCCCCTGAAGGCTCCGGCCCACGCAGCGACCTACATTTCCTGCACGCGGCGTGCGTTTATTAACCTCTTGCCGTCCGACCGTAGTAAAAAAACGGACGGACGGCACTGCAGCATCTGCGGGTTGCCGTCTCCAGACGGCAATTTTTTTCTGCTCGCGCGCGCCCCCTAGCGGGCACGCACGGGCAGAAAAGACCCGCTAAATGCACACACCCGTTACCGGGTGTTTCACATATAGGCACAAAAGAAAGCTCTATCTGTCCCCAAAAAAGGGTATAAAATTCATTTCAGTACAGCGCTGCATGACGGAATAAATGTCAGTCAAAGTACCGCAGCGCTGAATACTGAAAAATGGCCTGGATGGGAAGGGGGTTTAACACCGCGGATGTCAACTGGTTAATGAACATACGGCGGCGTCTCCCGGGTCCTCCCGGCGCAGCTGAAATATGCCGATATTTAGGTCTGGACTTCTGAGGATTGTCGGCGGGGAAATGCTGACAGGAGACAATAGGAGGAGGCGAGCTGCAAATAACTAGAGCGCAATAAATGGCCGAGCGCAGGACGGCGTGAGGAACGCAATCGAAGAAATCAAAGTCCAGACGTGTCATGTGACATAACGGCCGAGGCCGGGCCTTGTGAGAGGGCTATGAGCGCGTCTTGAGAGGTCCGTGGCGGCTCATCTGCCTCCCGATACAGACGTGAACCGGGGCCGCCAATGACAGAATTGAAGAGCAGAGCGTCACAAAATATCCCTGAGGTGCAAACACGTGACGCACGCGGCGTGATAATGGGGACAGACAATGATTCTTGTATCGGCGTTGGGACCGCGCAGAGCTGCCAACCCCGACATGGAGAACCGATCTTCCTTCCGGGCATTAGATTCCTGACGTGTCCCAATATACAGCATCCGGTCTACTTTGTATCATTAACAATCCATCCTGGAGCTCCAGTCAGTGACTGTGCCTAGGCTGAGATGATGTCATCAGTCTGCTGCAGGCAGGAGGAAGCATTTCCTCAGTCTCCCCTCCCCCAGTCATCAGTCTGCTGCAGGCAGAAGGAAGCATTTCCTCAGTCTCCCCTCCCCCAGTCTGCTGCAGACAGGAAGAAGAATTTCCTCAGTCTCCCCTCCCCCCAGTGATCAGTCTGCTGCAGACAGGAAGAAGAATTTCCTCAGTCTCTCCTCCCCCAGTGATCAGACTGTAACAATGTAAGTGGCTGCAGATATTTGTGAACACAGCCAAGGACTGCACAGGCTGCAGCATTTACACAATTGTGTCATCTCAGTCCAGGAAGTAGATGGTGACCCCGAGTGATGCCTGAACAAAGTTGGTGCTGTCCTTCTGGAGAGAAAAGCAGATGAAGGCATTGTCAGGGGGAGTCATGTGATCTCTGTGAGAGGTGATATATACCTGGAAGTGTTAGTCATTCATTTATTTGCTGCACCTAACATGAATAAAGGGAACCTGTCATAAGGTAAGTGGCTGCTACCTTTCCTTCTGACAATGCTAGTTGCTCTGGCTGCCGTGCTGCTCCAGCTGTACAGGAACTACAAGAGCCAGCATTCCCTAATAACCATACGCAGAGTGTGTGCCCGTAACTGCCAGGAATCCGCAACCATTAGGAGCCGTGTAGATATGAGGACTGAAAACCTAACTTCTATTTTTTTTATTAAGCCCGTGGAGCGGCCATCGCACACCCAAAGTGAACAGAAGGGGGTGCATCTAAAGAGTCACGAAGAGACGGGGCCCATCCCTGACCCCCCGGGGCGCAAGGCTCCTGACAGGGGCAAGGCACTCGTGTCCACCTGGCCGAATCCAGGCGGACCCATCACTAATGTCCGGCTGAAGCCGACCACCTAGTGCTAGGTTGGGGGGATCCCCTCAAGGGTGACCCCCGATTCAGGGGAGGAAGGAACCTGAGGGCCACACATCCTCCTAGACTTTAGGGTAGGCCCGAAAACCCGCACCCTCCATCCTGAGGGGTGAAAAACACATAAAAAAGTGAAAAAAATAAGTGCCAAAGCGCAAGACAATGGCTCGGCCTTGCGGCCCGGTAATAATAATGACCCCCCTGGTCTCAGCCAAAAGGCCCAAGAGGTGATGTGCAGCAAAAGGTGTCGTGGCCAACGTGGGGTCCCAAACCCATAGTGCTACTCGGG